TAACCTGAATCATAATGAACTCCCAGTATTACAAATATTGAAGAAAAGGAAACCAGATATTTATACTATAATGAGATGTCCAGTATGTGAACTTTAAGAAGAAACTTTAGGACACTTGTTCGAATATTCAGCCACTAAAGAAATCAGAGAGGATATATGGAGAAAAGCAAAGGAAAAGATTAACCGATATATTAGTAAAGAAATTATAAACAAAGAAGAAGTCCATTCTGTAACTAATAACTAGACAAGTAAATGGTTAAACAAGATTCAGTGATCTGATAAAAGTCTTTTCAACACTATTTATGAATACATAGAAGAGAACAAAACCACTTTCTTGAAGAATTACCTCAAAGTATAACTCATAATTTCCCCAATAGTCACACAAAGCATAATTAGTAAGCTTTGTTATAAAATGAGGAAAAATTTCAAGAAGGACATATAGAATAGCCACTGCAAAAAAGTTATAGAGTGGAAAAAGAAGTAGAATATTATTGAAAAGGACAAATGAATCAAAAGACATGGGTACCAATCCATCTTATAGGTTATACAAGAATAGGAAAAAGAATCCACACTTACAGAAAATCCAGAACAAGAAGTCTCTGAAAGAAAGGAGAAAATGAAATATATAGAAATCATCAAGGATTGGATTTGTTATGGAAGGAAATGGTTTGGTTTTTAATTGTAGTTGGAATTTAGAATAATCTACAGTAATGATCTGTAGGCAATAATTTTATTGACTGGAGGATTTATTCAAGTCAGTAAAGGAGCAAAATATCATTTCCTAAGTTTTATCTAAAGAAATAGTTTTTTAATGATGGGTGAATTAGTATGTGAAGTCAAAATAATTTGTAAATATCTGATATATATACAATAAAAATAAGCCATACTGACCTGACTGGGAATTAAAAAAAAAAAGAATATGCTATAATTATAAATTAACTAATTAAGCAGTTATCAAGAATGTTAATAATAAAACTACAACTTATTAGTAAATATAAAAAAATAGAATAGAAAAAAAATAATATTATTAAGTTTATTTATAGAATCCAATATGAAAGAGAATAAAATATGAATATATATGAAATATATCTTTTAAATAATTCTAATAGAAAAGTTTTTTTATCAAATTGATCAATAATAAATTATTAATCTTAAGCAAACTAATTATTAGAAGACCTGATTTATATAAGCAAAAAAATATATTACATGTAGCAATTAAAATAAAATAATAGAACACTTGCTAAAATATTTAGTTTACAAGAATCAAGTATAAGAAGTATAGATGAAAGAAATAAATATAGTCCTTAAAGACTTTAAAGAATTCTTACAAGTAAGAGAAAAGGAAGCCAAATAAAAAAAATACAAAGTTAATAATAAATAATTATAAAGAATTGAAAAAGCTAAACAAATAGATCTTTGAATTAGTAGAACAAATCTCAAAAACTAATCCAGATATTCTGGACTTTTGTGTTAACCTTATAAGAAGTAATTTTATTTAAAAAATAGTATATCTAAAATACTATAGAAAATAAATAAAAAAGAAAATAAAAGAATAAATACTAAAAATATAAAAAAGAGTTTATAATCAAGTCTAAAAAATAATCTAGAATATAAGATATAAAAAAATAATTGAATAAAAGTAAACATGAAGAATCTGTAAAAAAAAATAAGATTAAAAGACCTCAGCATTTATTAAGCTTAAAAACTATATCTTTAGTAAAAAGAAAACCATTAATGGAGAAAAAAACTTAGAAAACTAAAATCCTAATAAGATTTTAACAAGAAGAGGTAAATATAAAATAAAGTGATTAGAATTTTAAGTCTTAACAAAATCTTGTAGTGTAATTTGCAGTAGTAATCTATAGGCTATAAAATTAGTGGATTAAAGAAATTTTATCAAAACTATTAATGAAATAATAAAACATTTTTGAAATTGTACTTAAAATTTTAAGAAATTTATAAAATAGAGATAAATAGGTTAGATAAAGATTTAGCTTTAGTGAAATTCCAAATATAAAATATACAAATATTTAATAAAGCACATATACCTAGCCTAACTAAGGATTTAAAAAAAATATTGTTATAATTTTTTTAGTAATAAAAACTTTATATTTAGATTTTTTTTTTTTTAATTTCATTTCTGAACTATTAAAATTAAATTTTAATTTAATAATTTTTTTAAATAAATTTCTAGTAATAATTTATAAATTTTTTAATCATTTGAAATTTTTTTTAAAACATCTTATATTTTTTAATAAATGCTTATAAATTTAGTAAATCTTGTTTTTAAAAAAAATTTTTTTAAGAATGTATTTTTTATATAATTTTAATTTCGAATTTAACGAATTGGCAGATAATCCGAAGTAGAATTGTTGATCTTACTATAAAAAATATTATTTTTGAAGTTTTTAAAAAGTAAATTTCCCACATGTATATGTACAGTATTTGTCCTGACGATCATTTTTATTTTAGAGAATGTTTTAGAAAAGCGAAAAATTGATTTTGTTTTTTCTACTTTTTGAATTACAAAAACATTATCCAACTTTTGCGCAAATAATAAACGTAGTCTTTCACTATACTTCGTATTAACAAGTGCTAATTAAAGTTTAATATCTAATAATTTACTTTATTGTTTTGCAGTTCGAAAAAAAATGTGATTCATTAAAATTAATTTATCAAGAAAAGAAACTACTTTACGGACACTCAGGCACATAGTCAATATCAGCATGTGCACAACCAAATAAATTACGCGCGTCATTAGAAATCATGGCTGTAATTAAGTAGTCGTCAGTGGGTAAATCGGCTGGTACCTGAACTGTCATAGTTTTCTTATAATCTTTGACTGGACACTTGACTTTGCCGGTACTGTCCTCATCACTACAAATCTTTTCAGTAGTTTCGGATAATTCACACGGATAATTTGAAGAATATGCAAATGCAACAATTTGCACGGAATCTGACTTGAGCGGATGGTCATGAAAATTTCCGGAAATCTCAAAGGTTG